CACCAAGCCATGCCATGCCATGCCACACCCACCAAGCCATGCCCACAGAACCGGCAGTAAAAAAAATTGAATCCCACCACTGGCCATGGATATTTACTCCTCATGTAATTCTTGGCTGTGGCTATGGTCATGAAAAAACCTACCCCAAACTCTGGAGAAATCTTGAGGGAACTGGTTCCAGATGGAATATTAGCACCATCTGCTACAATATTCAATTAGTGTTAATTCTTGGCTTTAAACAGTTATTTTTCAGAGGGAACCTGCCATTGACATGGCATAGATATGCACATGATTTCCCCCCACCCCACCCCAAAAAGGAGAGAAAAACATAGTGGCATGAAATGTGACTCCGGTTAGAGGGGCTGTACCTTCTGACCTCACTTTGGCTATGGAGGTAACCAAAGAAAGAAACAAATGAAGAAGATAAATTAAGTAAGCAGATAAAAACATTGCAAAGAGAGTTAAAATTAAGCTGATCCCTATCAGCTACTTTCCTTTTTTTTGTAGGACAGTAGAATCCAACTTGGGACAAAATATTAGAAATAGCTACCATTCAGACATTTGTTCATTCAAATAACCATATTTCATATAGGGACCATTTCCTTAAGAAACAATATTTGCATTATTAGTTTTTCAAAGCCTTAGCCTTTTGTTGATGTGAAGACCCTGCAGGTTCAAAGATAATGGAAAGAAAATGGCAGTGTCCTACCTGTGCTACCTTGCAGGAGTTCTGGTTCACTGAAGACTTCCTTCTTTACATTGCGAAGTGTGATTACATATTCTGTGCCAGGAATCAGACCCCGAATCTCATAATTTGTCTGATCTTTGGGCACCCGTATTTCTTTCATCAAGGTCTCTTCCCCAACAGGAAAGTAGCTGATGAGGTAGTAGTCCACATCTATTATCTTATCCCAGCCAATGGTTAGGGAATTTTCGGTGGTTTTAAGGAGATGGACATTCCATGGGGCAAGCACTATTGGGAAATAATGGGAAGATTTTAAAATAATGCAGCCTGTGAGTCGAGCAAGGCATATCATGTTTCATTTTATCTTTATAATTTAATTAGCAATGGGTAGGCCACAGCATCTCATTTTTTTATAATTAGTGGCACAAGTGTTGACAATAAATATTTGCTGACATTGTTTTTCATGCATTAAGCAGCAGTGTCCAATTCTGAATATTCAAAATTTGAATATTTTCATCAGATGATGAAGTGCAGATCTGGAACCTAATAAAATCTACCCATTTTAGGTTGCATTATCTTACATTGACTTCCTTTTTTTCAAGCAAAATGTTTGATCAACTGCAAGGAGCCCAGAGGTAACTTACAGTAACTGTAGAAAACAAAAAGAAATATTGTAAATTTCTGTTATCTTTCTTTAAGGATATAAGAACTGTCTCTTTTTTGCATTTTGTCTTTCTATGACTATCCAAGTAAAGACAACAAACACTCTTTCATCAGAATGGCGGTTAAAATCCTTGACAGTTCAATAAATATTTATATGCAGTATAAAAGTCCATTATGTTACTTCATTTATCATTATAAAATTTAGAAAAGTAAGTAGATTAGAAATGTATGAACCTCACTGGAAGAGAAACTGGCATTCTTGAAGTACTCAACTGCATTCCTTGAAATGAGGGATAATGTACTTCATATTCACAAATCCTATGGCAAATTAAGAAGAGCTCCCAATTCAGTACAACAGAAATTGGAGAACACTTTCTGGCAGATTATATTCCTAGTAAATAATAGCAGCTGTAATAAATATTCTGTTCAATATATAAGAGTTGCTTCAGGTACCCTGAAAACAAATTTCAACAGCATACAAAATGGATCTTTCCAGTTATAGCGCCACATGTATAGTGCTGTTTGAGTGAGAACAAAACAATGAGCCACAAACTAGGAAACCCTGTAGTCTAACAATGTGCATGAATAAATCAGAATAAGTCAGACAGTTCTCAATATGTATGCTTTAACTTATTGTATGCTACTCATACATACAACATACCATAATGGATTTTGTTTAGTTGTAGTATTTTAAAAAGATGGAAAGATTTCTGGAAAACTAGAAAATAATTTTTTCAAAACCTTCCCATAAAAGTATTTGACTGAAAAACAAATTAAGTTTGAGAGGAGATAACAGGAGCAGTTGCTTGAGGCCCATGCATGGAGAGGGCTCTGCCCAAAATATAATTCAGTTTTTGAAATAATACAATGAATTCAAGACACTAATCAGTGAAAAAAATTATTCAGTATTTAGCACCACCCCGGATGTTGTCATCAGTGATCTGCGCATGTGCAGATGCGATCCCATTGCGAAACGGTAGTAAAGGTAAGTAGAACCCACCTCTGGACAAATGTAATTCTGCCCCCCCCCCCCCAGACGGGGTGTATTGAAAAAGCAATGGCCGCTCAATGAAATCTTCATTTGAAGATCCTTCAGCATTGCATGGACAGCTAGGGAAAGGCTCTTACCTTTAGAGCAGTCTAGCTCTGTGAAACCATCCTTACAATAACACTCCCCACTGTCACAGTATCCATTGCCACTGCAGTCATTAGGGCACCTCTTCTCACTGCAGTCATCTCCAATGAACTCCTGATAACACTGGCATATCCCATGGATACAGACCCCATTTCCACTGCAGTTCTCAGGACACAGGAGTTGACTGCAGTCATCACCAGCGTAGCGGGCATTGCAAACACACCGGCCATCAATGCAGTGCCCATTACCACTGCAATTTCCTGGGCACATGGGTTGGGAACAGTCCTGCCCTTCCCAGCCTTCCTCGCAGTTGCAGCTGCAGATCTCTTGGTTGAAAGTGCCATGGCCACTGCAGGATGACACCCCTGTTCAGGAAGAGGTCCAGAACATAGGAGAAAAAATGGAAGACAAAGAAACATGGGCAGCAAGATCCCAACTCACTTGAAAAGAATAATGAACACTGACACCTTGTTTACATGCGTAAACTCCAGTTTTAAGCAAAAAACATCTTGAGCTAAATCCTGTCTTTTTACCCCTAAACCAACATGTGCAATACTGCTGCTTTGCTTTTAAGGATAATAATATGATGATGAATGAATTTTCATTGGGTATAGGCAGGGTGAATCTACATAAGAAAACCCTGTGAAATAGTTTACAGAACTTCAATAGTCTTGAAGTCCACTATGCTAAATCTGGGTCCCCATCTATGGATGACAAGCAAGCCAATGTTTGGTGGGTGATATAAGGCAAGTGTCAGACACATGATAGGGAACAATATACAGTCAACAGGCTACACAACTAGCTTCCTCACCTTGTCCTCTTCCACAACATTTTTGAGGGTTACAGATCCTTTTCAGATGTGCCACTTCTAGTTCTAAATTTTCCAGTCTTTCCAGCAAAGCTTTAACCTGTTCAAGGACTTCACAGTCTCTTTTAGGAGTTTGCAGCCGAATGTTATGCTTGAATATAATGTTTTGCTCCTCGCCCTCATCTATTTCGCCATTAGTGAACAACATGTGATTGTTGTCTTGGAGAGGCCCCAGATCTGGTTCCACTTTGAACTGAAAGGACTCAGGCACCTTAATCTTGTATGAGTGACTAAAGCTGATCTTCTGGCTTTGGTCAGAGCAGTTTTCGGGCTGAGCAGGCAGTTGTGTCAGGACCTCCAGGAAGGAGCAGTGCATCAGAATCCCCAGGAAAATAATCCACATGGCCATTGTGCTTCTGTAAATACAAGAATAGAAAGGCTCAACTGGGGAAATAAGAAGGGAAGATGAGGTAAACAATATAAAAGTATTTTCTAGATATTATAAAGAGTGCAGGAAAAATATTCCTGGCAATCTTAACTGGGGAATTGATCAAGAGCTGATCTAGACATAGAAGAGACTTGTTGGGCATTGGTTATCCCTACAGAATGCACTTTGGCAACCCCTTGCTTCTTGCATAATAAATTCATATATAAATACATACCCATTCCTTTACACCATGTAACCTATGCTTCTCTGTTGTTTGGAAAAATAGATTACTATGTGTAGGAAGTAGGTATGGGAAGAAGTCTTTTTTAAATGCTTTCAAGGGAGCATTTAATCATGCATGTGCCACTGAGCTTGAATTATAGTTTGGCTCAAGGTTCAAGTTTTTTCTGTTTGCCAAAAGTATGAAAAGTGATACATAAACCATCAGAAGTTTACTAAATTAATTAAGACCCTTCTGGGCAAGGCTTTCTGACTTGTAGGGGGAGATTTATGAGGTGAAGCCTTATCAGGCAAAGTAATTTTGTGTTCATGCTATGAGTTTCTGCGTGGATTGGAGGTGCAATATACACATCAAGGAGCAACAAGTAAACCTTCTGGAGGAATCAGGCAACCAAGTTAGAAAAAGGAACTCAGGAGGAAGGATGTATGTATGAATGAGGAGCATGCAAATGAGGAAGAAGGATCTGTAGAATAGAGTGCCTAGACAAACAGCTGTAGTTGGAAAAGACAGATCAGGAGTAATAACATAAAGAACCATGACCAAGGAGATAGCTTTCCAAGAAGCTTAGGGCTTGTTTCCACCCTCCTCCCTAAGCTTCAAGCAGAAGTCAAAGTACAGGTGGTCCTTGGGTTATAACATCAATTGCAGTGGTGAAATTAATTTTTTTTTACTACTGGTTCTGTGGGCCTGGCTTGGTAGGCGTGGTGTGGCTTGGTGGGCGTGGCAGGGGAAGGATACTGCAAAATCTCCATTCCCACCCCACTCCAGGGGAAAGGATACTGCAAAATCCCCATTCCCACCTTACTCTAGGGCCAGCCAGAAGTGGTATTTGCCAGTTCTCTGAACTGCTCAAAATTTCTGTTACCGGTTCTCCAAATTGCTCATAATTTCTGCTACCGGTTCTCCAGAACCTGTCAGAACCTGCTGGATTTCACCCCTGATCAATTGGAACCAGAATTTCCATTGCCAAATGATGCTGTCATAGAGCACAATATCATAAAGCACATGACCACATCACTTAGCAATGACAACCCTGGCAGTGCCGGTTGCTGCTATAACCCTGGGTCGATACGTGGGAAGAGCTGGGAGTCCCAGGCAAGCAGGCCGTGCTACAGACAAGACCTGCAGAATGTGGGTGTGGTACTGTGTGTGTGTGCGCGCGCCAGCGCGCTATAGGCAAGTGCTACAGAGTGTGGGAAGACAAAAAAGTGAGCAATTTCTGACTTCCTGTTGACTTTGTTTGTGGGATGGTAAGAACTGACAGAATGAAATCAATGTGCAATTGTTTAAAACCAACCAATGCAAATACTAAAATGACACTATTATTTTCTATCTTACCTTAAAATGATTTAATCCAAAATAATGTTTAGATTGCCCAATAAATTTTCCACCTAAAAGCACTGCTTGAGAGAAACTTTAAAAAACAATTATTAGGATGACCAAATATGCTCTTTTCTCTTCCCTTCTCATCTCACAACATACCATTCTTCTGAAATAGCTTCTCTTCACAGCTATCCTGTGGTTTGGCTGGCTACTTGTCATCAAGGACATTGCTAAAAATCTGCTATTTTATTTTCCAAACTTTCTCTCTCGCCACAGAAATTAGCTATCTCAGTGTGCCTCTAATTCCTAGTTTATTCTGAAAAACATTATGCCAAAACTTTGGATCTAAACTGCCTAAATGATTGCAATAAAGTGTAGTAAGGATGATCCATGATCTTATTTGGCAGTGTTTTTATCCAAACTTGCCAATTACAACAAGTCATTCATTTTTTAAAATAAACCTCCTTCCTTCAGTTTTGCCACATGACATTCTCAGCCACAAGCGTGACTTTGTAATTAGAGTTTGTCAGGGCCACAAATTGATTCCAGCTTTGCTTGTTGCCAATCCATCAGAGTAAAATTGGGCCTGACTTGGGACAAAGGCCTATTATATAATGAATTCATTGAATCACCAGATATGAATTAAGGTAGAACCAAGAAATCTATTATTAAAGGGATGTGTTGCAGTGAATAATAGCAGAAAAATTGTCTCTTAAAAAGGAGGCCTATTGGGTTATATGTTGGATAGCCTCAGCAAAGTTTCTTACAGATACCAAAGAAAATTAATTGTTCCACAAGGTTGGATATACATTGTTTGATGTGACTATCACAATTATAATTTATATTATAATTTTATGAAAGGGCCACTCTGAAGAGAGGAACATTGGATTGCAATGAAAATGGCAGGAATCTTTGCCAATATCTGTATTGTTTTCTTTCGAACTAAATTGTCACCATATGTATTCCTGCTTACCTGTGTGCACACATGGGCCTCAATCTAAAAGGCAACTGGATTTACATGGCATAACCCCAGGAGCTGCTTACTGAGATAGGGGTGGGAGCAGAGGGATCTCCCTATATAGCACAGATCCAATTTGCATATACTGTATAGGACAACTGGCATCAGAAGAAAGAAGTTCCTAAGTTTGTTCTTTCCTTCTTGCAGCCATCTACGGGGGCAAGATTCAACCAGGTACATAAAGACGAGGCAGGACTTCAACCAAGTGGCCATGCCCATCCTTTTGACATTTTCAGCCATGCACATTCTGCAGATTTTTATTTATTTATTAAATTTTTATGACACCCATCTCACAACAACTGAGCAACTCTCAGATACCCTTAATATCTTCATTTTTCCTGATAATCACTAGCAAAAAACATCTGTGTGTGTGTGTGTGTTTACCTTTTGGTTTTCTTTGCAAACAAATCCAGTATTTAAGTAATTATTTTCATCATACATCTCTGGACTGTTCTCTGCAACTTGCTTTTCTTTATGCATAGCTTTTGAACTAATTTACAGGTTTACTTACTTATCTTTTGAACTAATTTGCAAATTTCAGTCCTTAGGAGTTGCACTAAAAATGGAAATTGAATAATCTTTCAGCCAATCAAAATAAAAGATTGTTTTTACTAACATCCTGTTTCAAGGTTATAATTATCAGTAAATTTACACCACAGCCATTTTATTTGTGAAGCACTATTCAGCCAATAATTCCCCATATGAAGTTTTATTATTGGATCATCTGTTATTATCCAAGCTTTACTCTTGGATAAAAGAAAGCATCGGACATGGGAGAAATTATTTGTCCTCAATCATTCATGCATATTGCAGCAGTACATGATTCAAACTACAACTATAATATAGTGCTGCAGTTATGAAAGGAGAGAAAATGATACGTGCTATTCTCAAGTTTCTAGAAAACCATCCAAAACCATCTCTGAATTAGTAGCCAAAGTGACATATTAGCCAGAGAATTTATATTTAATAGGATACCATTTTTGGAATAAGTCCCATAGACTCTCATCTGCTATTTCCTCTGCCTCATTTGAAATATGGAGTTTACTGCAGTTGTTTTATTTTATAAGGTTATGCACAAATTGAAGATATGGTAGTACATTCTTTTAAATACTGTATAAATATAAAAATCATCTGAAAATGAGGCTTACACTATGCTGGAGCAAATACATAAGAATTCAAACTATTAAGGTGGTAGAAAGTATATATGTGCCAAACTTATGATAAATTAGGAAAATTACATTATTAATTGAAATTAGCAAATTGGAAAGTAATGAATTCTGGAACTATTAGAAAAGGAGTATTCCAAACAGGTTCAAAGTTGTTGTTTTAGACTTGGATTTAACATACTAAAGTATACTATGTTTGAGGCTACTTTGAATAATAAATATATTTTTGATGCGATCTACTTTTATCCTTATTACAAACAAGCATACAGTGCTCCAATGAAATATTTAAAAATGTTTCATTTGTATAACAATGGTGCACACAGGCCCTACACCAAGATAGAGAGTTCTGAACCGATCTTATGCATGTTTATTCAGAAACAATCCTACCTTGTTCAACAAGAATAACTTCTGATATATTAGGGGGGGAAATGAAACAAGGCAGTCTTTTTTTTTTTTTTTTGAGATGACCACTTTCAATCAAATGCATTCATGTTCAAATCAGAATCAGATAGCTACTTTAAAAAAAAACCAACCTAAGGACCTGTTGCTTGAAGGCTGCATATTTATTCCAATATGATCAATATTATACTAATTTTAATGGAACTTTAATACCTGCAAGATATGCATGGCAAGATACTAAAGGCAAGAAATAGCAATGGAGTGAGAAAAAAATTGTAGATCATTGGCCAGGATGCTGTTATTAAAGTATATTCCTCCTTTGGTACCTACAACCAAACCCCAGATGATCACACAATTACTATCTCAGATGTTTTTATGCTGTTTCAATCAAAGTACAACTCCCTTTACACCTGGCAGTTTGTCCTTAGATCTGCAAAAAGAATAGATGCGGAATGACCAGATTATAAACTTTCAAAAGATGGATAGATTGCTTACATCGATGCTGACCCTCAAAAATAAGGAGCCAGATTTGAATGTGAATGTGGATGTGGGTTCAATCTTGTAAGGTAGAAGGAAGAGGAAGAGTTAAGGAATACTTCTTCTTATCATCCTTCTGTGTATCATAAGCTGATACACAGGTCCTGAGGGAAAAAAGAGACTAGTAATTCCCTCAAATTCTGCAGACCAGAGAAAAGTCTTCCTTACCTTGGAGATGTACCTTTCTCCCAGGTGAGTATCAAGAGCTGTCTGGTGTGGCCCACACTTGCCACAAGGAGAAGCAAGCAAAGGATCAGAGAGGGATGCCTTTTCTCTTCTCTCCGCTGAAGGTTTAAATTTCTTTGGGAACAGATCAAAGAACCAATAGAGTTACTGGGTGGTTCCCTTCTGGGTTTTTTTTTCCTTTTCAGATGGATGGAGGTGGTTTGAGGGATGGAAAAAGGAATGAATGTTTCTGTTTTCCTTGTTAGTGCTGAAAAAATTGGGCTCTGCAAATGGATTCAAACCAGTGGTGAAATGTAAAATTTGTTACTAGCAGTTCTGTGGGCGTGGCTTGGTGGGGGGAGGTAATATGACTGGGTGGGCGGGGTGAACTATTGTTTTTTTTAACTTTTAAAAGCATTTTTTCTACAACCTCTTCGGCCAAAGAGGTTGCAGAAAAAAATGCTTTTAAAAGCCTCTGACGATCAGGCAACTCAGCTGGGATCATCAGAGGCTTTTAAAAGCATTTTTTCCCCCTAAAACCTCTTTGGCCAAAAAGGTTGTAGAAAAAATGCTTTTAAAAGCCTCTGATGATCCCAGCTGAGTTGCCTGATCGTCAGAGGCTTTTAAAAGCATTTTTTTCTGCAACCTCTTTGGCCGAAGAGGTTGTTTAAAAAGCTTTTTTAAGAAAAAAAAAACAGCCTCTGATGATCGCGCGGCTCAGTTGGGCATGGGTGGGTGGGGGTTTGCAGGGATTTTTGCTACCGGTTCTCCGAACCACCCACTGCCATCGCTACCGGATTGGGTGATCCAGTCCAAACCGGGAGCATTTCACCCAATTCAAACAGAGAAATACAAGCATGATTTTGCCCATTTAGGGTGGACCCAGGGGTTTGAGCTGACTCTGCCAAGAGGAAACCTGGAATTCTATCTCTACTAAAGCATGGGCTTTCTGGGAAAGTATTGGCAAAATCCTGCTTCTCATCCCATTTCATGGAAAGCGACTCCAGCAGCCTACCTGAAAAATCAGTTCTGAAGACACATAACTTAGCTATTGGGGTTCTTATGGCTCTTGAATCTAAGCCATAAAACTAGGGCAACCTTTACTTTTAAATTAAACATACCATTTCTTCCTCAAGAAATTGGTGCCTTAAGCTAAATAATCCTAACATGGCACAGATCACTTTTAAAATAGCCAAGTTTTTTGCTTCAATTACTATTTCTTGAAATGGAGCTTTATGCTCTAATGATACGTAAGGTGATCTTGCACATCTTGGTTGCAGTCATTCACTGTTGCCAGAAATGAAGTGGTTGGTCCAACTCTACGGGGAGAATGCAGTCTCAAAACTAATTTAATGGTAAGTTACAAAGGGCTTTAAAGGTTGCACTTTAAATTGCACCTGAAAACCCATTGGCCCATGGCAGACATGTAGTATGCTGGCTGACATATAGGCAGCTGCACCTAGAACCAGCTGAAGCTTCTCTCTTTAAAGACAGCCCCATGTAGAGCTTCCTGCAGTAGTCCATGTGGGTGGTGACCAAGGCATCAACTACTTGCAGCTAGAAATCTTTGTATTTTTTTTGCTTTTTCAAAAGAAAAAACAAAGTCCAGTTGCCTCCTGAAAAAGCACCTTTGGCACTTGTAGCTAGATTCCTTCACCTCAAGTAAGATCACAACCAGCCAGAACTTGGCAAAGCCCCCCCACCCAGCCATGACTTCCAGTTGGTGTTTCAGCAGGAATCATGAATTCAGGAAGACCACCAAATTATGGGTGTTGCGCTCCCCCATAGATACCACTGGAGCTTTTATAAACAAACAATAACTCCATTTTGCTAGGATTTAATTCTCGTCTGTTTTCTCAGATCCAGATCTTCACAGCCTGCAGGTCCAAGATAAGACTTCAACAGCATCTCCAGTCAGGGTAAGTACCATCAGTCTACTGATGGAATTAAAACAAACAAATCAGAGGATTGTTCACACAGGCAGATGAAGGCACCAATAAAGTCTTTTATTGCACTGCTAAATCATGACAGGTGGCCCTCCAGGGGTGTTGTTAAGCCTTCACTTCACTTTTCCCCAAACCAGCCACCCACAGTCAATGTAACACAGTCCCACCGGCTCAGTCCAATAGTTACCAGAACCAAGCCCCTAAACAGGAAGAAATGTGAAGTCTGCAAACCCAGTGCAGAGGTTGCATAACAAGGTCTGTAAGCCACAATCCAAAGTCAGAGTCCTCAAAGCAAGGTATGTGTCAGATGTAAATGCCTTATTCTCTAATGTGTAAATAATATATGAACGGGGTATCAGGGGTTAACTTATTCTTCACTTCTTAATGTATTCATAATTCACCACTCCCACTTATAGCTCCACCCATTGTATATATAAGGAGCCACCTACACCCTTTTCCTTGCTTCTATCTGTGAATATTCAGTGAATATAGAATGCCTATTGTAAATAAAAGGAAATATATTTAAACCTTTAACTCTTACTAATATTATTGAGTCTGATCCTGAAAATATTGCAACAAGCTGGTAGCAGAGGATGGTTAATTGACTCAATAAAAAACTTAAAAATGTCTAAGAAAGATAGGCCCAACACCAGGGCCTACAGCAAAGAAATGGAAACAGAACAAGAAATAATCAACGAATTCACAAACGCAATTTCGAGAGAATCCGAAGAATACACCACTGAAGACGAAGAAATAATAGATGAAATTGATGACCAGAAGGAAATCGAAATAGAGAATAACGAACTCAGGTCAGAGATATTAAAACTATTAAAGAGCCAGAAGAATGATGAAAGCCTCATCGCGAAACTCCAAGATATGCTGAAGAACAGCGGAGCAGCGAGAGAGAAAAACATCACTAATGAAAAGTCTAAAGACCCCAAAATAGTGAGTGATATGACTGCAGAGAAAGTCATTATGAAGAAGAAAAACGGTGATCCCTCACGAAATTTTGAATGGCAGCCATCTTGGTTTCAACAGGCCTCCAGGGTGAGCGAAGCAGAGCCAATCAAAATGCTCAATTCAAAATTTCTGGCGCGAAAAACGTTATCAAACAACGAAAATGAAAAAGAAGATTCAAACTCCTCAGAAGAATCAGAATCAGAAAGTGAAGATGATTCAACAAACTCCCAAATAAAATCAGCAATGAAAACGCTTTTTGCTGCATTTGGGCCAAAACTAAAAATTAACAAACAGCTACCGAAGAAGCGAGCGAGCAAGCCGATGCCTCAAGACCTGCCCGCTCCCATTCTGACTACGAGAACGCCGACGCCCGAACCCAGAGACCCCTGCCGGTACCGCCCTACGCCACAGACCGAAGCAAGCACCAAAGCCCTCAGGGGAAGAGGAAGAGCAGCCGCCGTCGTCAAGACTCCCAGAATCGAACCAGAGACCGATTCATCTGAAGAGGAGCAGAACGAGCGAGCCACAATGGAGAGAACCTTCCACGACGACTCCAAAGAAGAAATGGACAACGCGCATGCGCAGAACTACGCAGACGGTCCGGGAAGACATGAACTGGCGAGGAGACCATGCAGACTCGTTGCGAGCATCCCCATGCCGTTTTGCAATTTTCTACACTTGCGAGACCACGGACTACCTCAGGTTGTAAGTAATGGACACAATAATGTCGGAAATTTACCCAGTGACTTCCCAAAGCTAAGGGTTGATGGCGTTAATTTGCAAGAATGGTATCAACAGCTCCAGGTTGTCTTTATGAAGGAAAACTTATTATTTTTTATCACTAGTCCCCCAAAAAGACCTTGGACTCTAAGAATAGATTGTTTACACCATAGAGCATTTTTCTTAATAATATCTAGTGTGTCTCCTGCAATGTATCATAGCATTAAGCCAAATCTGACTGTTTCAGAAATCATTCAATGCATGTTTAATTTGTTTCACAGTGACAGTGTAGCTACCACCACAAGGATGTCTAAAGATTTCTTTTCATCTAGGGTAAAACCAGGGGTTTCCATAAGTGAGCATTTAATATATTTAAACAAAATAAGAGCTGAGCTGCATTTGAGGGGGGAAGTGATTTCAGACCAAACAATGAAAAGTGTTATTATCAACTCACTTGATTCATCATGGGACAATTTTATGTCACATTTAGACACTATCAATCTAGGATATTTATCCATAGAAAGTCTATCCAATAAATTGATAGCAGAAGACAATTCAAGAAGGAATCGTTCTAGCAATCACACAGAACACAAACCATATAGGAAAGTAGCTTTCCAAGAAAAATATAATGAAACATTTAAATGCCACAATTGTGGATCCAGAGAACACAATAGAAGAGACTGTCCCAAAATTTCAAGAGAAAGGCATAGGTCAGAATATAGAAACAAATACAATTATGGACAGTCTTCCATAGATAGACATAGATATAGGAGCCCACCAAATTACAAAGAGAATAGAGGGGGCAGAGATAATTCAAAGGATAGAAAATCTGGCTCACTGAACGGGCTAAATAAACAAGACAACACTAACATACAGCAAAATGAGAACAATAATTGGCTTATTGATTCTGGAGCAACTAATCACACCACTAATAACAAAAATATATTGTCTTCATTTGCAGAAGATAAATTTGTAATAAAGGTAGCTAACCAAGAAAAGGTGCAAGTATTAGGTAGAGGGAATGTAACCTTGCCTGGTCTAGGAAAAATAGAGGGGGTATTGCTAATACCTGAGATACCTCATAACATACTAAGTGCTATAAAACTAAGTAGAGATTCTGACATTAACATTGTTTTTTCAAAAGGAAAAGCGATTTTGGAGAAGAATAAAATAAATATAGGCACAGTGATGATTAAAGGAGGCCTACCTTATCTGATAACTAAGGAAAAATGGTTGCATAACATTGACTCAAATATGGAAGATTGTATTGAAGTAGATGATGAAAATATTAGCAATAGTGACAATGATGAGTGTAAAACATCTCATGATCACAAAGATGCACACAATGAAAAAAAACCAAAAATAGGTAAGCCAATTCATGATGAGTGTGCTCACATCTTACATAGGAAGTTAGGACATGCCAGTTTTCCTGTAGTACAAAAAATGACTGAACACGCAGAAGGTGTTAAAATAAAAAATTGTGAAAACTATTTGGAATGCTCAGTATGTAAATCTACAAAACTAAAAACTAGTCCCAGGCCAAGAAAATCTACTAGATCAACTAACAAAATTTTTGATTTAGTACACATGGACTTAGTTGGTCCATTAACTCCATCAATCACTTATAGAAAACGTTACTTCCTGACAATAGTGGACGATTATAGCCGCTATGGGTTTGTTTATACATTAAAACACAAAGATGAAACATTTCAAAAATTTAAAGAATTTTACAAACGCATAGAAACACAACACAACATCAAAATAAAACAAATTATGACAGATAGGGGATGCGAATTCATGTCTAAAGAATTCTCCCAATGGTTAAAAGACAAAGGAATGTTACATTACACATCTAGTCCATTTTCTGCGTTCCAGAACGGGATTGCAGAGAGGAAAAATTCCACATTACAAACCATGATTAGATGCACATTGGAAGATGCTGGCTTAAGCAAACAATTCTGGTCAGAAGCCTTACATTATTCAAATTACACACAAAATAGAACATGGTCCAGCATTGTAAATAAGACACCATATGAAGTGATGTATAATAGAAAACCAAAATTAGCACACATGCATATATTTGGAGTCACTGCAGACGTACACATACCTAAACAATTAAGAAGAAAGGGAGAAAACGTATCCAGAAGACTCAGATTTATGGGATATGAAACCGGTACTAAAGGGTACAGATTCATTGATAACAATAACAAATTTATAGTCTCCAGAACAGCTGTGTTCCATGAACAGGCTAACTGGTCTAAATTACATCTTAATGAAATATTTCCAAATAAATATAAAGGTACAAAATCTCATGAAGAAGGGATCATAGAAAAGCAAAATATCAACAAAAATAAGAACAAAACCAAAATTTGGACAAATAGCCAACACAAAATTAAGACAGACACATTAACAAAAAAGGAAGCAAGATATTTGCATGATAACGATAGTAAACCTGAAAAAACCATTAGAAACACTAGAAATCAAATGCCAAATAAATACAAGGATTACATAATGCATATGGATGGTGAACCAACAACACCCAATACATATGAGGAAGTGTTAAAACTCCCTCGTGAAGAAAAGGAAAAATGGGAATTAGCGATGAAAAAAGAGATGGAAAGTTTACAAGGATTAAATGTATTTACACCTGCAATTGCACCTAAGGATAAAACAATTATTGGTACCAGGTGGATATATAAAATTAAGAACTTAGAGGGAGGCAATACTCTATACAAAGCTAGACTAGTTGCACAAGGCTATGCACAGAAATATCCGGAGGACTATACTGACACGTATTCCCCCACAGTAAGAACAGAGAGTGTCAAAACAGCTCTAGTGGTAGCATCAGCACTCAACCTTGATGTATTTCAATACGACATACAGACTGCGTATCTACACGCTAAACTAGATAAGGAAATATACGTAAGAGCACCTCACAGTCAATACACAAACAAAAATGAAATTTGGTTGTTAAACAAGAGTTTATACGGGTTAAAACAATCTGGTAAACGATGGTATGATTGTTTAGTGAAAGTACTTAGAACCATGGACTTCAACGCTACTACTGCTGATAACTGTTTTTTTGTCAAAAAGGATGATGATTACATTGAATTTGTATTGATTTATGTGGATGACATTTTATACATAGGAAAACATAAAGAGAGAAGAGAAACCTTTGTAACCAAACTAAATGAACATTTCTCGTTAAAATCTCTAGGTAAAGTAAACAAATATCTTGGTGTCCAAATTAATAAGACTAGAAGGGGATTCAAACTTACTCAGAGAGATAAGATTGTAGAACTTTTAAATAAATGCAATTTAAACAATGCCAAACCTTGTGACACTCCTATGCAAACTGATTTTCTAAGAAATACTGATGAATCTTCCCCCGAATTCAAGGATAACACATTTTATAGATCAATCATAGGTTCACTTCTTTATATATCTAATTGGACTAGACCAGATATCGCCTTACCACTCAATCTATTATCCAGACATGTCAGCAAACCAACAATGTATCACTGGGAAGCTGTTAAAAGAATTTTAAGATATCTGAAAAGTACACTAGACTTTTGCTTAATATTAGAACCTAAAGACAATAAAGAACCAAAGCTTACATGTTATGCAGATGCAGACTGGGCTGGAGACACCTCATGTAGAAAAAGTACATCTGGTTATATATTTCTCTTAAATGACTGTCCAGTTTACTGGTACACTGGTAAACAAGAACTAGTGGCCACTTCAACGACAGAAGCGGAATATGTTTGTTTATCCAAAGCTGCAAATAACCTTGTATGGTTTAATGATTTAATTTCAGATGTTTGGAAAAAACCTGTTTTGCCTTTTGTTATGCATGAAGATAATAAAGCAGCCATTGAAATATCTAGATCTGATGCCATTGGACAAAGGTCCAGACATATAGATATAAAATTTAAACATGTGAGACAATTATCTCAGGATGGATTTATTAAAGCAGTGCATTGTGATACCTCAGAACAATTAGCTGACATATTGACAAAGCCTTTACCTTCTAAGCAACACAAATATTTAACTTCTAAATTGTATGTACTGTATTGTCCTGAATCTGAGTGTAATTGGTGTTGTATAACGAATCGGCATTTAGAGGGGGATTTGTCAGATGTAAATGCCTTATTCTCTAATGTGTAAATAATATATGAACGGGGTATCAGGGGTTAACTTATTCTTCACTTCTTAATGTATTCATAATTCACCACTCCCACTTATAGCTCCACCCATTGTATATATAAGGAGCCACCTACACCCTTTTCCTTGCTTCTATCTGTGAATATTCAGTGAATATAGAATGCCTATTGTAAATAAAAGGAAATATATTTAAACCTTTAACTCTTACTAATATTATTGAGTCTGATCCTGAAAATATTGCAACAGTATGCAAATCCAGAAGCTGAAACATTTGTTGAAGTTCAGAAGTCGAGGTTTCCAAAGGTCAGGAGAGTGAATCCTGAGACAAATGGTTGTTCCCAATGAAGGCATCCCACTAACCTCTGGTTAAATCACCACAACCAAGTGTTCCTTGTGAGGAGGGCCAGGGCAGCCTCCTCATGAACAGCCTCTCAGACTTCCTGAATTTCCCTCTGTTTCATTCTCCATGCCCTCAGATCAGGTGGGGGAGGCAGCTAGTCCTTGTCAGAGAGGAATCTCTTGGCCACTCTCATCACCACTTCCTGTCTGCAGTAGATACTCCCCTGCATTTATGAAGGCAGGCAGTTCCCTGTCCGGTTGACCACTTCTCCCAAGGGAAGCATTGTCGTCAGCCCTGGACTCTCCATTCCCCTTGAATGGTCCCAGTTCCAACTTCTCCTGTTCCTCCTCTGAACTGGGATCTGATTGGGGCCATAGCAGAACCTTTCTAAGAACTCTCCCCAATCTGCATGACACCTCTTGTGCATTCCCTTTAGCCACCCCTCCCCCCGATCCACACAACACTTTTTGTGCACCATGGATTGGGAAGTGTGCACAGGAGTGTAAAAGAGGTGCTATGAGGGTCAAGAAGAGTGTATGAGGGGGTGCCAGTCAAGAATGGTGCATATGAGTCACAGTGGTGTGTAAGACATGATGATCAGGTCATGTAGGGTGTGTGATGGGAGGCAGTACAGGTTAAGAATGCATAGGGGTTGCAGGAGTTTGTGGGAGGTGCCATGCTGGTCAGGATTGGTGTGGGGGCAATTGGTGTGGGTTTGGAAGGTTGCCTGGGGGTATTTAGGAATGTGCAAGAGGTGCTGTGTAGATCAGGGATGGCACGCAGGATGAGCAGAACAGATTTGGAGAGGTGAGGGGGGGATGCCCAACAGGTCCACATGGGGATGGTGAAAGAATGCAGGATGCAGGTTGGAGAAGGTTCATGGGGGATGCAAGAGGTGAAGACATGCATGAAGTACACAAGTTAGAGAAAACCCATGAGAGGCAGCGTGGTTTGGGGAAGGTGCACTGCTGCAGCCCAGGTCAGGGGAGCATGCAGGGAACTGGCTTAACCGGGAAGAGGATGCAGGAGTTCTTTTCCTCCCACTCCCTCCCTCCTTGCCTTTTCTTTCCTTTCCAGCAGGAAGGTAAGTATTGGATGTGGAAGGGAGAGATTGTGAGACTGGCTGGGAAACTGTCATGGAACTGAAGATCACATGCCTTCAGCAGCAGCCCAGCAGTACAACAGCAGCCAGTAGTAAGGAAGCAGCTTTCCCAAATGTAATTCCTTCAAGAGTCATGGCTCCCGGATTTTGGACACATTTTGAAAATTAACCCATTTAAAGTATCTTGGTTCAAAAATTGATACACCATTTTGCCCAATTGAGTTTCTGTAATATATAGATGATAAATTCTAAAACCTCATTGACTTTAACAGAGTTAAATTTGATGCACATATAGTCAACTAAGAAATGTGTTATGCTTTTTAAAAATTCCTGTTGGGCCCAAATAAATGTTGCTTGATACAAAATCTTCTGTAAAATGATCTTATTAGTTCATATACTGTTCATCTGTGTATTCTTTTCTGATGCAAATGAGATGAACCATGTTGTTGTCATTAATGCACTGACAATTGAGATAGTGGGGGGAAATTGTGATGGTACTGGCTGCATCATCATGGATTCCATAGATCATCCTATGGATGGTCTTTCACTATGAAAACAAGGATTTCACTTCAACTCACTATCTTGGTTCCCTTCATTTGTAGTACTGAGCAGTAGCAGAGAGTCAAGACCATGGCAATATGTGCAAAGACACAGATGCAGCTGAATTCCAATGAAAGTCAGATGAAGAACAATTAAGCTAAAGTAAAATTCATAAAATCTTCCCAATCAGTTCTCAGGCATTCCTGTTTGAAAACCCAGCTTTACCAACCTTTTCATCCTAAAGGAATCACATTAGTTTAGAAAGGAATAAAGCTGTAATCACTGAATGTAGTAGGGTACACTTTTGAGGAAATACATAAAAGGTCACAGTGCATCACACTGTGAGAGGAGAGCATAACAAAAAAGTATAAAACTATAAAGGGAAAGTTGACAAAAAGAAATTGTTCTCCTTTCATATTGCTAGAATGAAATTGCCAGCAGGTGCAAAGCACGGAAAAGAAAGATGCTTACTCAGTGGAAAGGCCACAAGAGTGAAGCTCTCCCACTGTCCCATTCAAACCAGCCACTTACTCAGAAATGAATCCCTATTCTGATGACTGTTTCATCCTCTACTTGGCCAGGCTTTTGGCAAATCAACACTTTTTTTCCCTTCCATATCTTCCATAATCATCAAGCCAAAAAGGGAATAAAAAGACCCAAGCACCTCTCCACCAGCAATCAGTACCAAGATGAGCATAGATTAACTTCAAGATTAACATCAGACCAACAATCCAGTAAACTATACCCAAATCAAGGAACTGCCAAACAAGCCAATAGTAAACGGCCCAAAGAACCTCTAAGACGACCCCCACCAACACAGCAAGCCACTAGAATACTATAAACTGAGAGCAAACCCCACTCCTTATTAAAAGTGATGATGTTACATAGCTTAGGCAATGAAACATCTGCAAAAAAACAACCAAGTTCAGAGAACACCAAGGAGTCCTCAGAATATACAGTGTAGAGAATTTTGCTCCTCCTCAAGGCCAGGATGGAAGTCATAACCATAGAATAGAATAGAATAGAATAGAATAGAATAGAATAGAATAGAATAGAATAGAATAGAATAGAATAGAATAGAATAGAATTCTTTATTGGCCAAGTGTGATTGGACACACAAGGAATTCGTCTTGGTGCATACGCTCTTGTGTTCATAAAAGAAAAGATACATTCGTCAAGAATCATAAGGTACAACACTTAATGATAGTCATAGGGAACAAATAAGCAATCAAATCATTAGGAAACAGTCAATATAAATCGTAAGAATACCAGCAACAAGGTTGCTGTTTCCTACAGTCATAAGTGGGAGGAGATGGGTTATAGGAACGATGAGAAGATTCATAGTAATGCAGACTTAATAACTAGTTTGACAGTGTTGAGGGAATTATTTGTTTAGCAGAGTGATGGCATTCGGGAAAAAACTGTTCTTGTGTCTAGTTGTTCTGGTCTCCAGTGCTCTATAGCGTCATTTTGAGGGTAAGAGTTGAAAGTTTATGTCCAGGATGCGAGGGGTCTGTAAATATTTTCACAGCCCTCTTTTTGACTCGTGTAGTATATAATTTAATTTAATTTAATTTCCAATTTATATACCGCCCTTCTCCCTGAGGACTCAGGGCGGTGTACAGCCAAGATAAAAACATAGAATACTAATATTAAAAAACAGTTAAATATATATATAAATTTTGGCCTGAAAGTTAAGAAATCACAGACTGATTAAAAGAATTTAAAAATTTATTCTTAAGCCAACCCGGCTTGCTGGAAAAGATGGGTTTTAAGGGAACGACGGAAGGCATTGAGGTCATGGATATAGGTCCTCAATGGAAGGCAGGTTGGTAGTAATGGTTATTTCTGCAGTTCTAATTATTCTCTGAAGTCTGAGTCTGTCTTGTTGGGTTGCAGAACCAAACCAGACAGTTATAGAGGTGCAGATGAAAGACTCAACAATTCCTCTGTAGAACTGTATCAGCAGCTCCTTGGGCAGTTTGAGCTTTCTGAGTTGGTGCAGAAAGAACATTCTTTGTTGTGCTTTTTTGATGACGTTTTTGATGTTAGGTGTCCATTTTAGGTAGAACCTAGAAATTTAAATATCTCTTCTGTTGATACTGTGTTGTCTACTCTTGTAAGAAGTGGTAGTATGGGAGGGTTTCTCTTAAAGTCCACCACCATTTCTACGGTTTTGAGTGTGTTCAGTTCCAGATTGTTCTGGTTGCACCATGAGGCTAGGTGTTCAACCTCCTGTCTGTATGCGGATTCATCATTGTCTCAAATGAGACCGATCACTGTTGTGTCATCTACGAACTTCAGTAGTTTAACAGATGGATCGTTTGAGATGCAGTCATTGGTATAGAGAGAGAAGTGGAAAGAGCACACAGCCTTGTGGGCCCCCTGTGCTAATTGTACAGGTATCTGATGTGATTCTGCTTAGCTTCACCTGCTGCTTCCTGTCTGTTAGGAAGCTTATGATCCACTTACAAGTGTGGTCAGAATGTCTGGAATGATTCACTGATTGGCAAGGTGCAAAAACTCTTTTGCTTATATTTTTCACAACAGAAATGAATATTTTACTACAATTCACCATCCTGGCAGTCAATGCACATGATATGAGGGAAAGAGTGAGGTGTTCAACAACTTGGTGGTAGTCATGTTCTTCTCCCACATCTTAGACTGCATCACTCCTCAAGTTGGGACAGAACTATATTGTGCATGCTTAGAAATTTCCTGTATGTTTTATGACAGTTTATTTGGAACTCCATTCTTTATTCCTTACATACATTGGGAGAGAAGACCAGAAAGGAAAGAGGACAAAGCGGGTAATCACAGTTTTCACTATTTAGTGTATGGTATATAATAATTGGACTAGCATTATATATTAAAATTTCACCTATCAAACACAATAAAATATAAATGTTAAAAAGATCTATGTTCAAATACCAATGCCTAGGTCAGGTGTCAAATCTGATCGCATCGCAGACCGTATATTGGGCTGTATCGTGACATATTGGGATGTTTTTTGCCTTTGCAGAGGCCGGGGTGGGTGTGGCCTGCACAGGCCGGGGGCCACCAGTTTGACAAGCCTGGTCTAGGCCATCTAACCATTGAAGTGCAGCATTGTTTATATGAAATAATCACATACTGACCTCAGCTTATAGCCAGTCACAATGTGATCTAGTTTGATGTGGACCCTGCACTCATAGGATACTATGCCCCATTTATACAGTTCCTGCAGATGCCATGTGACGTACAAATCTTATTCAGGATTGTCCATTGTGACGTAATTCATAGCCTGATCTCTTTTTTGTGGGCTCAAAGTGACCAATTAGGCTTTCCATTGGGAATCAATGTTAAAGTTGTTGAATAGATGGTGTGCAAGTGCCAGCGGGGGCTTCCTGGATTTGAGTCTTCTGGTTGATGTTGATGTGTACTGGTAGGAGTGAGTTGTTCATAATTTTTCCGTATTCTCTCACTAGTGCATCTTCACTACCCTTGGCTTTAATGAGGAAGTCCTGTGATCCATAATTATATTTTCCAAAATGATTGTGGTGTAAGAAATCAATTTGTGGAGATTCTAAGTGGAACAAAGCTTTTTTTTTTTTTTTTGCAGTCGTTTTTTAAGTGTGGATATCATCCTTGGAATTCAGCAAAATGCCCTTTTATTATACAAGTACATCCGACCTGCAATCCACAAGAATTTTTGTTATACATATTAACTATATTATGTATTTTATATGTGACTCAAGACAATTCCTCTTTACTCAGGACAAAAGTTTGAACAACCATGTTATATACTCACCTGCCTTATAAGACCAATATGGTATAAGGTCAGAGTTGTAACTCCTGCCATATTCTGCCCATGTGGCGTTTATGTACTGAACTTGTGGTGGCTTGCCAGTTCTCTAGGTCCTGATTTATGCTGTGTCCTACATTCAGCCTTCCAGAATGGCCAAGACAGGAGCCAATGAGATGGCAGCTTTCCTTAATTTTTTCTTTTAAATTGGTAAACATGGCTTTTAGGGACTGCTTGGTGTCATTTTCATATAACTGTTTAAGTTTGTAATTCCCCACCCCCCTTATTTTGATGTATTTGCTGTACCTTATGATTGGCACTGCTCTGTAAATAAATCATTACCTATTTATCATTTTGTAGAAAAATCATGAATGTTTTTAAGACGAAGTACCACATGCTCAATCATGATCATGAAGGACTGAGAACTATGAAATGCTGTATTTGTAAACTGAGTCGTGGGCATACAGATAGGGATTTAGAAAAAAGAGGGAGGCTAATGGAGAAAGCAAATGTGCTATAATTATAGAACTGGAAGAGACATTGATGTCAAGGAGGGGAATGACCACATTTGTGCTTTATTGTGAACATTCCATAGTATCATATTTTCCACTTGGAAGTCCATCCCACATGTTTTTTATGAAAACTCCCATCCCAACCACCAGTCCTCTGTGGTGTCTAGAAATCCTTACTTGAGGCTTTTGCAATTTCTACTAGCAACTGAATTCAATATAAAGGCATTTATTTGCACTGACATCAGCACTGGGATGAAATCCCTGTACATCGTAACCTATCATAATAAGTATTTTTTCTCTCATTCCATGAAGATGCTTCGAAGAATTTCCTAGATTTATGTATGTAAAGGATAAATAATAACATAATACTTTATTCTGGAATTTAATGTGTCTAGTAAGAGGGATACAGATTTTACATATTTTCCAAGTTAGGTTTACTCAAGTCTGGAGATGAATTTAGAACTGACTTTAGAATCCCAGTTTGTAACCTTGTTCTTTCAATTTGAAAGTTTCTTCTTTCTCACTGATTTAGTTATTCTTTTCAAATTAAAATTTGCTTTATTTAAAGAATTTATATGGCGATTTATCCCACAAAGTGATCCTAGGCAGCTGACAACTAATAAAAATAATAGAATTATAATACGATAAGTAGAGAATCAGAAGGGCCTTCTCTGCCATGGCTCCTGCCTTTTGAAAACTTCTTACCGAGGTATGATCAGTTCCCACCCTTCTGATCTTCCATAAGGGCCTGAAGACTGGCTCTGCCAGAGGGCTTGGGGCCCCAGTGGGGGAGCATCACATTGGACTTGGCTGATGTGTTAAGAGGCAATCCCACCTCTTCCTTCCTGTACATCCTACTCACTCACTCCCCAGCTTTAACTATAGTTCCATTTTTATTGTAATTTTCATTCTCATTGTTTTAAAATCTCTTGTAATTTTAATGATTTTAATACTATCCTGTTTCCCTGAAAATAAGACCTCCCCTGATAATAAGCCCAATTGGGCTTTTGAACGCATGCGCTAAAATAAACCTCCCCCTGAAAATAAGCCCTCCCCAAAAATATTTAAACACAGAGCTGGAAATCAGGTAAGACGGCAAGAGCCCCCTCTTGCTCCACGCGCCCCAAAATAATAAGACCGCCTCGAAAATAAGGCCAAGCGCTTATTTCGGGGTTCAAAAAAATATGAGACGGTCTTATTTTTGGGGAAACACAGTATAAGCCACCCAAAGTTATTTTGAAACAAGATGGACTGCAAATGGATATCAATCCTTCTTACCAGATACTAAAACAATCAAAGTATTAACCTTCTGACTAACCTCTTATCCTAGCTCAGTATTTAGGGAAGAGCCAGGTCTTTATGGTTCTCCATAAATAGTAAGTACACAGTATGTTCAGAACTGATAGCATTAGAAGGCTTCCATCTGGAAACATCTGGAGATTTTTTTTTTATAACCCCTGTGTCTCAAAGTCAAGAAGGCTATTAACTCAAATTGAAAGAAAACAAATAAAGGTTTTGATGCTTATGCTAGTATTGGGTGAAAGGAAGATGTTTTACAATTTGGAGGAGGATATGTAACAAGACAGTAATTTTTCAAAACCTATCTTGAAAATTGTCTTCTTTAACCTGTCCCAGTTAACATGGCAATTAATAGAGGTCCTAGGAATCAATTTTAGGAGAAGCTCAGAGAAGATAATAGGCCATGGCTAAATGTTTAATATTGAAATGAAGATTTCATAGAAGGAATTCTGCATTACAAATGGAAATAAAGTTTTGTAGAAGAACCCATGATGAAAATCAGGACAAACATCGGCTCAGAGTTTAAGAAGTTCTGCTGTCTATGAATGCTCAAAGTATTGAAAATAAATAAAATGATTTTAATGTCTTATACTAAAATGATTTTGGAAGTATAATTGAGGTAAATGGCATTACAGCAACTGAAGTATGTAATCGGTTCAAAAGGAACAGACCAATGCAGAAGAAAGCTGCAAAATATTTACACCTGCTTAAAAATGCAAAGGAATTATTTTATAAATGTTGAAAGCATCTAGGTTAAAGTATGGAAAGGAATCCATAATAGCAATCCTATTGTTGGTATACTACCCAATGTAATTTTCTAATCGTTCAAAGAAATATAAAGTAGTAGGCACAAATTACACTGCCATTTGGTGGGAGTTCCAGTGCATTTCTTCACCTGTATCTAACTATGGTACACACATATCCCAGCAACCACTTTTATTTATAAAATTTATTTGCTCTCCATCTCGTATCCAATGTCTTTGGGTGGAGTCCAGAGTCTTTACCTACCTTGTCTTCAAGTCATTGTCTTGTGAGCTTTCCCCTTTATCACACTTCACCAACTATTTTTCTATGGATTTTTCCATGGAAGAATCTGTCACACTTCACCAACTATTATGCTAGAGCTGCAATCAGGTGACCTAATGTTATCTATTAGCCACTTTCTGATGGTGTATGTCCCTTAGCTCAGCTCTTGTCCTTCATTTGGATAGAAGGAAGATGCCACATGATTCTGTTCTGGAAATAGTATTCTTTGTATTTTTATTAATGATCTAAGTAGTAGATGGAAGGAATGCTTATCAAGTTTGCCAGTATAGATGGAATTTGGGAAAACAGTAACAACACAGACAACAAAACAACATGCAGAATGATTTTAGGAGATGAGGGAAATTGATATTTCATGAAAATAAAAACTTGTACATTGGGGGGGTGGGGGTGGAATCAAACACCCAGATATTGAATGGCAGCTATCTAGCTCCGTAATATTATGTGTGAAAAGATCCTGGAATATAAATGGATCACTAATTGAATCTCAGCCACATGACATACCTGCAAAAGAGACAAGCACAATTTTAAGATGCATCAACACAAGCATTGTTTCCAAATGACAAGAAAGGTAGAAGATGAACATCTATCTGTTGCAGATTCTTTAATCTAAATTCATGAACCAAATTGATTGGGCCTGATGACTCTTATGATTTTGTGGTTTAATGATTCTATTTTTGGCAGTGATGGAATTGAAATGATTGCACCAACCCTCTAAAAATTCCCTCTTACATGTGAATACACACTACTTCAGCTACGTGAAGTCTAAAAGTCAGAAAACTGAGATTGTTAGTTATATAGGCTGATATAACAGCACTTTTTTTAAGTCACTAGCACCCCCTAAAGTACATTTTGATATTAGTGCCACAAGGCTTAACTAATTTGAGTTAAGTCCTCTAATCATCTATATTCCTTGGAAAGAAGCAAATGTTCTGCTTTGGAAAAAAGTGTTCTATTGCAAAATATAATTAGCTGAAAAGGGAAGGAAGTAAAGTTTCATATATATTTAAATGTAGGTGGCTGAACAGACACCACCTTGACAGCAGAGTAACAAGGTTAATCACTTCTCTGATTAAAGCATAGTATCTGTTTCATTGAAATGATTGCAGTTATATATCTAGAATTTTTTCTTCCTTTCAAAACGATGGGGTGCTGCTGTTGCAACCTGAAGCAGCTCATGATCTCTGACGGTCTCTGCAGAAATCAAGGCTTTCTCAGCCTCCTGAACTGATCCTAAGGATGTCACTTCATTTTCTACTTTCCAGAGGAACTGCGGCCAATACAATAAAGAATTTTATTGACATGTAAACGCTACTCAATTATTATCATATCCATTTTTGTGGAACATAGTCCATCAGAGACCCCAGAAATTTAATCTGAGAATTACACCCAACAAGTGGTGGGAAGGAAATGGAAAAGAGAATAGTGAAAAATAATCTTCAGCTAAATGAAGTTAAATGTGACACAGATTCTTACACCAAATAGGTAGCTATGTTAAGAATTGTGAAGTTTCAGCCTTAGTTTTATCTATGGGAAACAGTATCCTGAAAAACTCAAATCACCAGTAATTTTTAATATTGTTATATTGCAATTTGTCTTACTACTGGCTCATCAGGTCTGTCCATCAGCTCCATAGAATAAGTAGAAATCCATATAGTTTCCCAGCTATAAAAATCTTACTAGACTTATCCTTTTAAAGTTTATAGCTAGTTTTGTATAATCATTGTATTAATGTAATTGTACTTTTCTAGTTAAACTTTATTTGGCCTTTAGTTTGATCTAGCAGTGTTACCTTCTCAATTCCCTATACCCGAGTGCTGAATTGTGTCAACTTCAAAAACAAGCATACAAACAAGAAATCCAGAATTCCATTTATGTATTCTATTAGTACATCGTATTAACTCACAATTATATGATTCTAGATTTGCTTAATAAATCTAGCTGTTTGGGTTGAAAAAACACCCTGGATGGTTCTTGAAAAGTAGCCACCCACATTTAGTTTACCAGTGCAGTTGAATTTTGTGAATTCAGCCCCACTGAGATTTGCTATGGATTGGTCTCTCAATAAAAGCTTCCAAAGAAACAAGGCTTTTACCTGCTGCAATGAAAGTAGTCCTGTAACATCTGAACCACCAGGCAGAAATCTTAACACACAATTATTTGGGAACGCAAAGCTCAATCTAGCCTTAAGGATGTAACTTAATTCTATCTATATGTTTGTGCAAGTTGTGTGTAGATACGAATATACATACATACACAGTATGTATATATACACGGTGTGTGTGTGTGTGTGTGTGTGTGTATGTGTGTGTGTGTGTGTGTGTGTGTATATATATATATATATATATATATATATATATACACACACGGAGAGGGAGAGAGAGAGAGAGATTCTATGGAAATAGTACAAGCTCCTACACTCACCTTTAAAAAAGCTAAATTCATAACAGCCATATTTTGTTAAATTTTGCCGCCCATTCCCACAAACCTCGCTCGCTGCTTCCTCCCCTTCGGCTTGCCTTCCCTTCACGCCTTTTCCGGCATTTTCACGCCCCGGCGGGGTTAACTCACACGACCTTTCTGTCCTATTGCGAGCAACGCATGCGCAGTTCAAATAGCGTTGCTATAGGGAAGATGGCGGCAGTAGCTTTGGCGCTGCGTTCGGCTCTTCGGCAGGTTAGAGTCGCGGCCGGGAAGGGCTGCTTTCCCTCTCGGCTGCTGTGCTCGTTGCGTCAACTTCGGCTTCTGCCCAGTGCTTCACCCCCACCCCCACCCCCAACAGTCGCTCCGAGATAAGCCCAGCCTTAAAATCTGGAATTTGAGGAGAATGAAAGGCTATGCACAACAAGCCTTGCCCTGTCGACCTCCCGAGAGTCCTGTGGCGGATTGGTGTTGCCTGCCCCTTTTCGGCCTTTCTAAAGTTCTTATATCTTGCTCATATTATGGCATTCTGCTAGAACTCGTTAACGGAAGGTGCAGCGGACAGGCTAAAACTAAAGCGCTTCTCTGTAGGCTTAGGTATTGCTGAAGTGCAGTCCCTGCCACTTCACATCATTGGCCGTGGAGTCGTTAGTTGTAGTTGAACGACTTCTGGGGGTTCTCCGTGTATGTTTAAACTTTCTCTGTCTCTCTCCCACTTTTTTCTGATGAAGAAATAGTCGCAAATTGTTCTGTAAAACTCCTCTGCCCTTATATAACAGAAATAAGAGTTGGAAGGGACCTTGGAGGTCTTCTAGTCCAAACGCCTGCTGAAGCTGGTGACCCATCATTCCAGACAAGTGGCTGTCCAGTGTCTTCTTAAAAGCCTTCAGTGAATGAGTCCACAATTTCTGAAAGCAAGTGGGTTAATTGTTCTCACTGTTAGGAAGTTTCTCCTTAGTTTTAGGTTGCTTCTCTCTTTGATTAGTTTCCATCCATTGTTTCCTTGTCTTGCCTTCTGAAAAATAGGTTGACCAATATGATTGCTTTGCTTTTTTTTTAAAGATTTCAAACATTAATACTTGGCATCAGTCAAGATTTAGACATGCATACCCATTTGCCTGAACAAAAAGCTGATTGTAATTTCTTTTTATTAGTTCTTCCCCATGCCATGTGCTGGTCAAATAAGAAGTTATTATGTGGACTGGAGGATGGTACGTGATGTTAAGAGAAGGAAAATGGCTTTTGATTATGCAGATGAGAGATTACGGCTGAATTGCATTAGGAAAAATAGAATTTTGCCTAAAGAACTCCAGGTAAGAAGCATATTATTTTTGTCAAGATATTATGAAGTGAAATAACGAGAAAACATATTTGAAAATTTATCTAATATGCTTGATTTTGGCCAATTAATAGTGAAAAACTAAAATTAAAATAGCATCAACACCAAGTGTTATTTAATATTTAATATAACCATGATCAAGAAACAGGCTATATCAGAGCCCCAGGCTTGATGGCAAATCTAAGATTGTAATGTTTTGTGAAAGGCCAGCATGGTTGAGGCAAGTTTAATCTCTAATGGGATGTTGTTCCAGGGGCTAGGCACCACAGCAGCATCTCTTCCTGGGCCCCACCAGATGACAGTCCCTTGCAGATAAGTTTAAGAGCATGTCTCTTTTGCTGTATCCAACATGACAGGTAGACATCTGTGCATGTTAACACTAAATATATTTTCTATAATAATAATAATTTATAATTTATAATATATAATAATAATAATAATAATAATAATAATAATAATAATAATAATTTTATTTCTATACCGCCCTTCTCCCGAAGGACTCAGGGCGGTGTACAGCCAATTTAAAATACAAGACAAAACAATGATTAAAAATTAAAATAATTAAATAGATTTGGCCCGGTTTAAAACCCCGAAAATTTAAAATACCTCAATTTAAAATTATTATGTTGATAGCCCGGCCTGGCGGAACAACAGGGTCTTCAGTGCGCAGCGAAACACCCGGAGGTCCTCTTACACTAATTGTATTTATTGGGAATGTTATATTGTGCCATTCTGTTAAAGAATCTCAAATGTTATAAAGATAGATTGCGATGTTCAGACAGTTAAATTGTAATTCTTTTTAAGTTTTAAAAACTTATTTTCCTGCTTTAATTTTAATTAGTATCTTTTTAATAATAAGTCTAAGCACTGAAGAATTTATGCTTTTGAGTTGTGGTACTGGAGAAGACTTTTGAGAGTCCTTTGGACTGCAAGGAGATCAAATTAGTCAATCCTAAAAGAAGTCAACCATGACTGCTCTTTGGAAGGACAGATACTGAAGCTGAAACTCAAATACTTTGGCCACCTAATGAGAAAAGTTGGGATGTTGGGAAAGATCGAAAGCAAAAGGAGAAGGAAATGGTTAGATAGTGTCAACAACACAATGAATATGAATTTGAGCAAATTCCGGGAGACGGGAGGACAGGGGGTCTGGTGTGCTATTGTCCATGGGATTGCAAGAAATCAGACATGATTTAGCAACTGAACAAAGCATCCTTTTTAAAATGTTTTTTATTTATTTTATTTATTTATTTATTTTTATATGCCGCCCTACTCCGGAGACTCAGGGCGGCTTACAATGCGTTAAGCAATAGCCTCCATACTTTTGAATATTTTATACAAAGTCATCTTATTGCCCCCACAAACCGGGTCCTCATTTTACCCACCTTAGAAAGGATGGAAGGCTGAGTCGACCTTGAGCCTGGTGAGAATTGAACTCGCAGTAATTGCAGGCAGCTGGATGTTAAATGCTGCCTTAGTAGGAGGCATTAGCCTCCTACGCCACTCAGGCTCCTATTTTCTATTTAAGACACTTTAAAAGTTGGTATGTGTAGGCTATGAAAAATGCAAAATGTATTTTTTGTTGAGTAGCCATCTGTATATGTAATTAGAAAATTCCAGGCAAAAAAAAAATCTAATTATTCAGAGATACCTTGCTATTTTAGTTGATAACAATAGTTCCACTTCCAATCTAATTCCTATTGGACTAGTTAACCAGTAGGATTACAGGACCTCATATGAAGAATTCAGTGTATTTATTCAGGGAAGAGAATAAATACAGATAAAAATCCTGTGATCCCAGATTCCCTACCATGTCAGTTTAGGATTGGCAGTTCCAGTTGAAAACAATCTTTGAGATTCTTCACTCTCACTCCATGTGACATAATTGTACACATCTTTGGTTAAGTATACGAGGGGAATTTTATATTTTTAAAAAACTTGTTCCAGGAAATTACCGATAAGGAGATAGCTGATCTGCCCCGAGATAGTTGCCCTGTGCGGATCCACAATCGATGTGTTCTGACATCCCGACCTAGAGGTGTGAAAAGGAGATGGAGGCTCAGCCGAATTGTCTTCCGCCATCTAGCTGACCACGCCCAGCTCTCTGGGATACAGAGGGCAATGTGGTAACATACAAGCAAGTAATCTCTTCAAACATGACAAAACTGTCCTAATTGAAAACTCCTGAACATGGAATGGAAGAATGAGAGATGGTGAATGTTAAGTATGTTGGCAAGGATGTCAGTCTGATATTATGAAGATGTGAACCTACTCTTGCAGCTCAGGAGAAGACATGAAAAATAAACTGTGACAGATTTGACTCTGGTTCATTTCTTGCATTTGAAGTAATTTTTTAACTTTATCATTACATTTTTTTTAAATAACACTGCATGTTATAGCCTAGTTTACATATCATAACTACTTACAATAATTTCCTGACTTTTATAACATAAGAATAAGACTTCAGAAAAGATAGGAGAGTTCTAGAAGAGTAGAATAGTATATGCATGGCCCAAAATAAGTGTTTAGAAAACTTGGGATTTAAGTTGAGTACAAGTTGAAAGTAATGTATACTTCATCCAGTGCCTGCTCCTGCTCAGTTGGTGCACATCTCCACTGAACAGACATCTAGTCCATTTGAACTCCTCCCCCAGCAAGGGAGAATCCCCATTGGTTTTAGGCAGACTGTTCCATTGCTTAGCTACTGTTACTGCCAGAAAAATCTTCCCTCCCAACATATTTAAAATTGTTGATCTTTTGCCTGCTTTAATGTGACACCCATAAATATTTGTAGACCTTTATGAAATCCCCCCCTCCATCTTCCCTGTTTCAATATAATACACTTTACCCATTCTTCATAGGGATTGGCTCAACCTTATTCTCAAAGGTGAATGTGTTCCAGCTTCTTTTTTGTCCCTTTTATTGTGGTGCTCGGAAGTGTTCAATTTGCAGTTCAACCAAGAGTACAGTGACATCATTTGTCCTGAGACCTGGAGTGAATGCTTCAGGAGTCCCATTAAGAAATCCCGTGATGTACTTACTGTTGGTGGTCCCTGGTACACCTAGATTTTTCTCACGTGCAGTGCCAAATGAGGTCATAGAATCCAACTCTTCGGTAGAGGACATCTAATCCAAATTGTCATTGTCCCTTTTGAACTGTGATGCCTGCAGCTGAACACAGGACTGCAAGTGGGACCTGACCTGGCTAGAGTAGTGTCTATAATCTGGACTCAGGGCGCTTATTAATGTACCCCAAGATAGCAATTTTTTTTAACAATTAGATCACACTGATGGCTTTTATTTATGGGCATTCAGATTCTTTTCACATATATTCCCACCAAGTCAAGTCCCATGAATTTTTTTTCTGCCTTCCATTTTTCCTATTCACATGAAAAAAATTGTTTTGCATGTTAAATTCCATCCTTATGCCTACTGTTGAAAAACCTGTCTTTTTGAATTTTCTATCTAAAACATTAGCCACTCCTTCCAATTTTGTGACATTTGCAAATTTTGTAAATGTCTCTCAACTCCTTCCTCCAGGTGAGTGACAAAAATGTAAAAAACAGCAGAGGTCCAGGATGGAGCCTTATAGCATTCCACTCAATGCTTCTCCAAGCTGCGATGGATCTATTAATCACTTGAGTGCAGTCATTAAACCTACTGTGAGTTCATCTAACAGTAGCTGCATTTAGCTTGTATCTTACCATTTTAATGAAGGGGAATGTCATGAGGCACTCAAAGGTTTTGCTAAGGTCTATGTACCTCTGTTCTTCAATACACTAAAGTAATTATCACAAGAGTCTAGTACCATGAGGGCAAACCTATGGCATGCATGCCTGAAGTGGCACACGGAGCCATGTTGCTTGGCACGCGCGGCGTCACCCATTCCTCTTTCAGGTTTCTGGTGTGCATGCGCATGCAACGATCAGCTGGCCTTTGTGCATACAGCAGTGCCGGAAACCAGAAGAGCTGGTCTTCCATTTTCTGGCTTCCATTTTCTGGCTCATGCACGCCGGCCAGCTGATTGGGGTGTGCGCATGCGCAGCAGTAACCAGAAGACTTGCTGGCCTGCGTGCATGCACATGCCAAAAACCAGAAGTACCTTATCTAGCGCGCACATGCCCCCTAGGCAGCTCCTTTTCCTGGTCACAGCCCTGATGAGCACGCAGTGTGTTCCCTTTTTGGCACCTGGTGCTGCGCGTGTGCGCACGTGCTCCCTTTTCGACACTTGGTGCTGAAAAGGTTCACCATCACTGGTCTAGTACAATTTGTGACAAGCCCATGCTGGTTCCTCTTAATTGTACCCTATCTAGCCAAGTGCTGATAAGCATGCTGCCTGATCATCTGTTCAAGACTTTACCAGTATAGATGTCAAACTGGCAGGTCTAATTTATTGAGTTCACCCTGCATGTCTTTTTAGAGAGTTCTGCATGTATCAGTGCTGGCTTCAGATTTTTCTTGTTTTTCCTCATAGGAATTGTTTGCAATTGTTATCTTTATAATCTCATTTCATAGCTTTTCCCATTCTTCCTGAATACATCACAGGGAATTTAAACCACTAGAGGAGTCAATCTAGCTTCCTCCGTGTTTGTCAAAATCAGTTCTTTTGAAGATAGGTGCTATAGATTTGACATTTCTCAGCTCCTCCTACCCAACTCACCCTCTTCCCAGCCGCTAGCACTGGTATATACAGTAAGTCAAAATGAAAGCATAGGGAATCAATTTTATATAATGTAGCTAATTTTCGTGTAGCAACAATCAAAATTTGTAGACATAATGAGCAAATACACTGAAAAATCTTTTTAATCATTACTGTCATTAAGCTGAACTCTTTTCCTCTAATTAAAACCACTCATCAGTTTATCAGCCTAATATTGCAGTAATTTCCCCTCATTTGTTGACAGTCAAACTACTATTTTTAGCTGAGTTTTAGTCTTAGCCTTTAAGAATAAACTCTTTTATATTATATTTGTAGTATAATATACTAGATCCAAATGTTCAAGAGCTCACATAAATTTGGTATTAACTAGTTTGTATTTGTTCTTCTATTGTATTGTGTTTGTTTGGTTGCTGTTTTAATCTAGCGATTGACTAAATAAAGGAACACATGATAGGATTTTGTATTTATAATTGTACATCATCCTGATAAGCCTGACCCAAAATTCAAATCTATTGCTTTCCCTGAAACTGAAGGTTTCCTTTCTAGGCTAACCTCATCTGAGGAATCGGTATTTCAACTTTTGAGAGACTGGAATTATATACTTACACTTATTCATCACTGTGTACTTGAATATATACCAGTCTGGGAATTGCCAAGATGTGTTGGAAGGACAAACATTTAAGGAGACAGAGAAGTTTTACAGCATATTTTATTTCCCATCTCCAATCTGAAACATAAATTTTGTAGTTTTTGCTTTGAAGATGGTTATATAAAAAGCACATGTTCTCTGAACAGAATATTGCAGCAGAAACCTCCATAAATCAAATGTACATTAAATTAGCAAGCACAATCTTCAACACTTGTTAAATGTCTAATGGCAAATCATCTTTGGATTGTTTTTCTCGGCTCTCCACCCATGCTTTGTTAATTGTTCTCTTCATCTCATCATCTCCTTCTGCATACATCTTTTTCAATAGATTCATCAGTCCTTCACTGGGGTCAGATGTATCATAGGAAGCTTTCCTAAAGGATATACATGGACAGGAAATTATGCTGTTATGTATTGAGTTTGGTATATTCCATAACATGAGCCAAATGCCCAAATATTTAACATTCTAATCTTATGGTCTATGATTTATTTATCTATCATTTCTCTATCTCTGTGTCTGTATGTAAATGTATATATGTGTGTGTCAGTCCTGGAAGTCATCTTTTACTTTGGATCTTCAGGGTGCCACATTTAGTGCGTGGAAAATTGGAAGGGGGGATTGTATGGAGATATATAGCCATAACAACATTCCTTTCTTTGAAAGTCAAGGACATTCTGCTCTGCACCTGGAGTGGTATGATTGGGAGGCATCTCCAGTTGGGACGGTGCATTGATTGGACCATGTGATGGGCATGTGGGTCCTGGGGCAGGAACTTGCACTTTTTTTGGGTGGGGAAAACCTGGAAGCTTTCAGATTTGGGTTTTCCCAGATGTGTCAATATGACATCTGTAATAAAATGGAACTTTGAGGAACTTCTAGCCTCGGAGTCTTCTTTCGTTGGGGGTGTTACTTAGAACCCTGATAGTGTGTGTGTGTGTGTGTGTGTGTGTGTGTGTGTGTGTGTGTGTGCGTGCGCGCGCGCATATTCTTTTGAGAGCAGGCATCAGAATTTCATTTTTTAATCTGTGCCAGTGCGTTCACAGAAAAAAGGGGCAATAAAGCTTATTTTGAGCACCTTTGCCTGATACTGAATTTGATATTTGAAAAAATAATTTGATTAAAATAAACATCATGGAATTTAAGTACAAAGCCTATATTATTTTTCAATGCCTAACTTGTTTTTTCTCACAAATCTTCCAAAACCAAACTAATATAATAGCTCTGGAGATCTAGTAATATACATTAATTCATATACATTTGGTAAGATTAAAAAGTTCATTAAACTGTTTTCTGTACATTGTAATATACCAAAAGCTGCTAAAATACAACCAATGATAATTTAAATAATATCTAATTATAGTTTTCATTTCGGAGCAGAGTTCCAAAATGTCATCATGTATTACTCTGATATTCAATATAGTATTCAGTATAAAAATTGCCTGGTATAAAAGTTTTGGGTTTTTTAGTGAACATGTTTCAGCAACTGGCCATAAAATGCAATTTCGATAGAAATCTGGATTATTCTTTTCCCATAAAGTTTAAGAACCATAGTGAGCAAGAACAGGATAAGTATAAATACTTTAAATCTGTTCAACCTCCATGTATTACATGGATTAAAGGAATCTTGGTTTATTGAATTTTAGCTTGCAAACCTTTTTCAATAGTAACAGTAATATCATACTGCTGGAACAAGCAGATGATGTACACTTACTCTTTTTCCTTAGTCTCTTTTTCAACCTGCGTTAGGCACTCCCATTTTTCTTCTTGCTGCTTCTTACATAATATCAAGATCATATCTGTTTTGATCTGTAAGGAGGAAGAAAGCAGAGTTCAAAATAATGCAAGAAGCCAGAATTACCAGAAAGGAACTGATTTGGATTATTTTCAAAACCCAATGCAGATATATTAAATTATTTAAAATAACAAACTTACTTTTGTAATCTAATCTTGTAGAATGTTTCTTTTTTAAAACCCAGAGCTTAAGAAATTTAAATCATAAATGCTGTTCATAAAATTCAAAACCACGGGTTATTTATCTTCCTAAGATTCCCTTCTATATCTGTCACTGAATTTAACAATTGCAACATGAAAGCATTAGCTACGAGTCTCCATATGTGATGATATTGGATTGATAAAGTTGTTCTAGACAGAAGAGATTTCCTATTTTCAAATCTGAAATTACATTTTCTAAGAACTCTGAACCTGGATGTGATATGAACTATTTTAGATTTTTTTTTTATACCTTCGCAAGGTGAAGAAAAGTCTGCCAAGGGAAGCAGTACTCCAAGATAAGATTCACCAATTCACTCAGAATTAGGCCTATATTTAGCAACTGGTTCCCTCTTACTCGGGACAAGAAAAATAGAAATGCTCTTTGGGAATAAGAACTACAAAGACAATTACCAAAGTAAAAGACCATCTAGTGATAAAGCTAATTTACAGGAAGACACCAGAAAGCTGAAACCAACTTAAAGGCAGGGTTTTGCCTCATTATAAAGCTTGGTTTCTTTAACCATTAATCATTGTATAAATCACAAATGCCAAGCTTGTACACCATTTTAAGCCAAAACCAAACAAAATATTTAATGAATAAATGTAATGAGTAGAAAGCCAGCCAAAGCACTTGTATGAACAGTATTAAAATTGACTACATCAGATATACTGACCTTCCATGAGCTGCTTTTAGCTAAGATTGGTTTCAGAAGGTTGTTGAACGTCATTGTATAATTTTTGTTATTTAAATTTTTCACCAGCAGATGAAATGAACTAAGAGGATAAGAAATTGAATCAGAATTCTCTAATAAACAACCACATCAAATAAACATCAAGAAGAAGCCACCTTAATAGGAAAAAGGAGAAAAAGCTGTAGGTTCATTTGGGCCTAAAATTTAATATAGCTGAGTGTTTGAAAAAGTTTTGTTAAATATGGATGGATAAGACCTCGGCAAGGATTGCATTGCTTTAAGACATCAATTTGAGTTGCAGTCACACATTTAATCTGTTTTATATATAATGGGTCTATCAGAAATAAATTAAAAAGAGTTTGGGATAACCTAGTATCAAAGGAGACACGATCCTGGTCTTGAACAGAATTATCTCATTTCTTCTGGTCTTGTATAATGGCGCTCATGTAACCAACAGTGATCAGGATTATGTTAACTAAACAGTTGAACAAAAATAAAAATCAGTCATATAGCTAAGCTACTAGGATAGTTGATTGGTTGCTGGTAGTAGGACTCCTTTATCATGTTGCATGATGCTGGCTTTGTGGGTATTTTAGCCATGATTATGACTCTTCTGGCATTGTGGGCAAATATTTTAACCATGGTTATCACTAGACTAAGCTTTGTTTAATGAGCCAGTATACCTTTAAGAGAGAGATTATCTTTTTTCCTTTTTATAAATGTTGGAAGCAGCAGCAGGTACATGCTATCATTTCTGTAAAACCGTAACGGGAACAGAAGTCATCTCTTCTTTCTATATAAGAAGAGGGATCATTTTCCTAATCTCTTTGAGACTCTGTGAAAACAAGCAGCAGTAGCAATAGCACCAGATGCTGTTTACACCTATCAAAAACAAAACCTACCTTTCTGTAAAGTGCACCTGAATATTCTCAGCTGGCAGATGTTGAACACCACTTAATGTGACATAGATTTTCACAAATTTATCAGACTGATCCCATGCTAAAGGAATGAAAAGAAAGCATTTTGGATATTAAAAAGCAAATACCAGTTTTAAATAAATTATAACATTTCAATATGTTTATGAATAATTTGATTTGTGTGCCGCCCATCCCATCTAGATCTTGTGTCTAAATCAAGTTCTTCATTTTAATTCTGAAATAAGCTTTAAAAATCCTATTAGGCATGAAAATAAAGATTAGAAAAATAACGGCTACCATACCCACAGAAATAGGATGATGTAAAACTTTGAAGAGATTGTTTTTTTCAATTAAGGTCCTTTCAAGGTTACTCTACAAAATGAATCACAGCCCAGAACCTATAAAAAAATTGAATAGCTCACATCACATTTAAACAGACTCTCTGGAGCTATCCTGTTCCACGCATATCTATCAGAAAACGTGTTTTTTATATACCTGCATTTAACAATTTTCACATTTGAACTGATGATTTAATTAGCCAGTCAATATAGTCAAGGCATATAGTGCTTTGTTAGCTGCGCTGGCTTGCAGAAGATTTCAAGGTTCAATTCAAACAATTTAATGTTTAGCATTTCTAAGGACAAAGTATAAAAAAGAATAAATTCCTCATGTGATTATTTTTCTGTAGGACACTTTCATTTTGGAAGACCTTCCAGTTATCTCTTTTCCCATGCTGAAACTATCAAAAGCAGACTCATGGATGGGTCATAGTACTGACAACCTATTCACTCATACACTTCACTCTTTACAAATCCTTACAAACTGGAAAAGGTCAATTTCAGGTTAATTTACAAGAAAGATAAAATGGATCCAGCAAATTATTACACAACTGATCACCTAAGCATAATAAGTAGATCATAATCAAATCATATTTATTGGACATACTGGCTGATGCAGGACAACATTCAGCCACTGTATTATGTCCCCCCCTCTATTGGAAAAAATATTCTAGCCATTCTATAACATCATTTTTATCAATTTAAAAGCAGCATTTGATTCAATACCTAGAAATAGGGTATGGATAAAACTAACATCTAAAGTTATTGACTCTGTTTCTCCCTTTGATTGTGAAGACTGCATATCTCAATGCAGATTAGATATGTCTCTAGTATTTCAGTTACTTTTCTGTCCTAAATCCCATTTAAAAAGGATTTAAGATTACTAGCTTGCTTCAAAATTTTTGTATCCATTCTGTATTTCAAGCTCTGACAAAAACAGAATTCCATTCTCAAAAGCATGTTTCAGTTCTCTTTTATAGTGACAAAACAACCCTATCCATCACATAAATAGGCTTATATGAAGCCTCCAAACCCTTTCCTCATACAAGTAGTTACAAAGCCTTTTTATCAGCTTTGCCCAAACAAAAATAGTGGTTTTCATTTACAAGATTTGCAAGTTGGACCATTGCTGGAATATTTTTTTAATACAGAACACATCAAGGCATTTAAATATTTGTAAGTATATCCTAAACATAAGCCTTGAGGGGAAAGCCAATAATGCTATCACACATCTGGCTTTTAAGATTACCAAACTATTTTTGAATTTGTCAACAGCACAGGCAGTAATTACGTTCTTGCTGCTATAATTACCTTTATAGAGCAACTGTTACAATCTACCTTTTCTATGACATGCAGTATTCTCACTACAGAGATCCAAGACCTCAAAGATCCAGTCTAAATTCCTAAGAACTATGGTATGAGCATCCTGGGTTCTTTTCTACTCCAACTATGTTCAGAATTTAGTCAAGCTTTTTCTGATAACTATTGGTTTTTTTCTTGAACAATAATTCTTCTAATTACTCCCTTGCCTCCCTGATCCCACAGAATATTTTTCAAACATTTTGGAAGAAAGATACAAAACTGAACCTACAGTTCTATGACTTGATGTTGAAAGAGAGCTGAAATGTTGTGTTCTTAGAACTGATCTTCAGAAATACCCCAGTACAACTCACACTTTTGTCATGCTGATTTTCTTGACTTTTTGTTCCATATAAATAGACATCAGACTGTGCTTTCTATGCCAATGTCAAGAAAATTCAGTAATTTCACAAGTTAGCATTAGCATAGCATGTATGACTGTTTCCAATGGAAAAAACTCACACATTTTATACAGTTTTAAGGTATAGATGTAATATCACTCCTATCTAATCTGTACTGGATTCAATACAAGTAGCTCATTTATCTTCAAAAAGCATTTTGTAACAATTATTAATCTCAATGCAAATCACCCCTGGATTGAAATGTAGGTTTGATTCAAGTTTCTAATGTATTCATTTCTCTTTCCCCACTTTCTTTCCAATAGGCACATAAGCTAATTTTCTAGAGGGCAAAGGGAAGAACGTCTGTTTGGATAAAAGAACACAAATAAGTATTTTTCTTCTCTCCCTTTGCTTCTGAATAATCTAATAAGTATTATATTGTCAATAGGGAACTATTTATAAGTATGGTCATATATGCTCAATTCTAAAAATATGCACATACTAAACTCAGTAATATGCATTATATTATACATAAATGTTACATGGTTTTTGCTTCATTCATTCTACATTTACTGGTCAGAGAAGCTAATACTGGAAGCAAACTTGAATTGTATCACTGTTCTTACAACCATAGGAATTAGCAGCTCCATGAAGCTGAATACTACGAAGAATTGTTTTCATTTACTTATATGTTCACAAAATACACTATATTACACATAATCCTGCCTATGACATATGCAACATTTTCTTAATGCTCCTGTAGACATACGCAACCAACTTTTTCAATATGTGCTAGCTTGTGATACATGAGTGAAATAAATGCTGGATACTGGAAGTTATAAATAGATGTTGTTTATGCAGCTTTTTGTAGTACTGTGATGGCTACACTATTTTCTTCTACTGCATTCTGTAATGAGGGAAAATAAATCCATTTCTACCATAATTGTTGATTTTCACTGTATATCCAGTGACTGTTGGTTTTTCTTCTTCAGATCCTTCAGCTTTTAGCTTGAGTGGTTGCCAGTTCTTGATTTCCCTCTCTATTTTGTTTTTTTCTGCCAGCAGAAAGTCATGTACTCTCTTTCTTGTTGTCATTTTCAAAAGCTCCTTCACTTCTTCCAAATCTTTTTGTAGCTGCACAGAATACATTGAGTATACAAATTAATTAGCATTTCTATCAAATGTTCTATCAGCATCTGCTTGAGAGGCAAGCTTATAAAAAGTTAACAATAAAGATCAAATCACAGAGACAAACTAGGCTACTGACATTTAGAAAGAGTTACAAGAGCATTCTAGTTGCTTAAATAGAGCATAGCAACCTTGACCATTGTCTTGTAAAAAGAGAATTCACCCACAGAATGAAAGACTATGACAAGGAGATGGAAGTGGTTTAAGCTCACCTAAAATCTGAACCAGAGAGCCACTTTGGTGTAGTGGTTAAGGCACCAGGCTGACTTAGACACAAAGCCCCAGGAAGGAGGCACTGGCAAATCACTTCAGAAAAACCTTACCAAGAAAACGGCAGGGACCTCTCCAGGCAGTGGCCAGGAGTCAAGACTGACTGAAGGATGGGGGGTGGGGGGGAGGGGGAGTTAATAAAAATAATTCCGAACTAGAAACATTCTGGTTCTATCATCTATATAAATCGATATAAATTCTCGTGGCTCCACCTCTGCGCAAGAGCATCCCTCCGCTGACTTTTGCAGCATCCCAAGCCCTGCTAGTGCCCGCTCCTAAACCCAACCTCCAAGACAACCGGCCCAGGCCAGTGGAGGGTTGCTGCTGCTCCCCATCCCTCCAGCTCGGATCTGGGTCTCCCTGCAGGGACAGAACCGCTTCCCTCCCCTTCCCCTTTTCACCTCCTCCATGTCTGCGCCGAGCACCGGCTTACAGGATGGTGAACTTCTATTCCGGGTCAGGAGTTGGCGCAGGCGCAGAGATTCCCCTCTCGAACTTTCCCGACGGTTCTGCCGGGCCTCCCGCATTCGTCAGCATTGGTCTGCTCGCCCAGCCAATAACGGGGCGCTTTCCTAACGGAAGCAGAAGAAACGCGAATTTAGCAACAAAGAGCTAGAAAAGTAAACACGAATCTCTCTCTTTCTTGTACAGCTTCCGGGTTAAATAAAAGGTAGAGCTATTTAAAGGGGTGATAGAGATGAAGTCTGAAGATTCCTGTCTTGCTTCCAAAACAATAATAAGGGTACCGAATAAGTGTACCAGCATTCGAGATCAGCGGCAGACATCCTGTCACCACAGGAATCAAAGGATGTTGTCACAAAAATCATCCATACATCGTTAAAATTAGGGCAGGAAGTTAACCTGGAATTTCGGAGCAACAAAGAAAAGGATGCTCACCTACATGAAGCAGAGGCCACCTACTCCTCTACACACCACAGGCCTCAAGCATCATACCAATGCCAGGACACTCACTGCCTCCCCTCCTCAACGGTATGGCACAAGCTGGCCTAAAGCAGAAGCACCGGGCTAGTATGATTACACACCACACTCACTCTACAGCAATGGGCCACCATCTTACCCATCCACAAACCAATCCACCTCAGATCTTGCCTAGTTCCTTGCTGAATATGACCTGATCACTAAAGGACTTGGGAGGTTTGACGATTGGCCAGAAAGTTACAGAGCCTGGTGATCATCCTTCCAAAGTACAATAAGGGATCTTGTCTTATCATACACGGTGGAGATGGACCTCTTAAACCAATGGCTTGGGAAAGACTATGCTCAGCACACTAGGAGGATCAGGAACATTAACATAAAATGCCCAGAAACTGGTCTTAAGATGATCTGGGAAAGATTAGAGGAGTGTTATGGCTCAGCAAAGGCAATTGAAGATGCACTGTTTAAGAAAGTTGACGATTTCCCTAAGATAACCAGCAGGGGGTACCAAAAGCTAGAGAACTAAGGGATTTGTTGCAAGAGCTACAAGCTGCCAAAGCCTCTCCTGGATACGACCAGGGGGATTAAACCCAGTGTTGAAGGTACCTCCTGACTGACAATAAAAGTGGGTTACATACAGGTTCAAGCATAAGACAAAATCCAAGCTGCCATTTCCACCATAGAGTGTGTTTCTAGACTTTGTCTCAGAAAACGAAGGTCATGAATGATCCCAGTTTTGACCTCACACTGGCATGCACCGAACCTCTTGATTCCAAGCTGAACAGGTCACCGGTGGCAGTACATAAAACTAATATCTCCTCATCAGATTCTCCTTACAGATCACCAAACTCCTCTCACCCAGAGGGCAAAAGCGGAGACCCTGAGAAGCTATGCCCTCTACACAAGAAGCTGCATCCTTTCCTGAAATGTAGAGATTTCAGAGAGAAGTCTCTAATGGACCACAAAGCCTTCCTAAAAGGGAATCACATCTGCTTCAGGTGCTGCTTATCCGTGTCATACCTCACCAGGAACTGTAAGGTTAGTGTATCATGCACGGAGTGCAAAAGTACAAAGTACAGACCACAGCATAGCACTACATCCCAGCCAAGCTCCTTGGACCGACAAGACAGCTAATATTATTATTATTATTATTATTATTATTATTATTATTATTATTATTATTATTATTTTATTTCTATACCGCCCTTCTCCCAAAGGACTCAGGGCGGTGTACAGCCTATTTAAAAACACAGAACAAAACAACAATTAAAAACTTAAAATCATTAAATAGATTAGGCTCAAATTAAAATCCCAGAAATTTAAAATACCCCAATTTAAAATTATTATGTTGATAGCCCGGCCTGGTGGAACAACAGGATCTTCAGTGCGCAGCGAAACACCCGGAGGTCGGAGATCTTATGTATTTCCGGGGGCAGTTCATTCCACAGGGCTGGGGCTCCCACAGAGAAGGCCCTCCTCCTGGGTGTCGCCAGCCGACATAACTTGGCCGATGGCACCCTGAGGAGACCCTCCCTGTGGGAGCGGACTGGTCGGTGGGAGGCTATTGGTGGCAGAAGTCGGTCTCGAAGGTACCCGGGTCCTATGCCATGGAGCGCTTTAAAGGTGGTAACCAACACCTTGAATCGCACCCAGAAGACCACTGGGAGCCAGTGCAGCTCGCGCAGGAGGGGTGTCACGTGGGCGCAACGAGTTGCGCCCATAACCACCCGCGCGGCCGCATTCTGGACCAGTTGGAGCCTCCGAGTGCTCTTCAAGGGGAGCCCCATGTAGAGAGCATTACAATAGTCCAACCGGAAGGTAACAAGGGCGTGAGTGACCATGCGCAGGGCGTCCCGGTCCAGAAAGGGCTGCAACTGGCGAATCAGGCGAACCTGATAAAAGGCCCCCCTGGCCACGGCCGTCATATGCTCTTCTAAAGACAGCCGTATGTCCAGGAGGACGCCAAGATTGCGAGCCCTCTCTGTGGGGGGCAAAGATTCACCCCCAATAGTCAGTGATGGCACCTGCTGACTATATCGGGGCGCCGGAAGCCACAGCCACTCGGTCTTGGAGGGGTTGAGTCTGAGCCTGTTCCTCCCCATCCAGACCCGCACGGCCTCCAGGCAGCGGGACATCACATCAAGGGCATCGTTGGGGTGGTCTGGGGTGGAGATGTACAGCTGAGTATCATCAGCGTACAGATGACACTTCACCCCAAAACCACGGATGATCTTACCCAGTGGCTTCACATAAATGTTGAACAGGAGGGGTGAGAGGACTGACCCTTGCGGCACTCCCCATGCGAGATGCCTCGAGGTCGACCTCTCTCCCCCTGCCAACACAAACTGCGAGCGGTCGGAGAGGAAGGAGGAGAACCACCGCAGAACGGTGCCCCCTATTCCTAACCCCCTCAACCGCTGCAGCATGATACCATGGTCGATGGTATCAAAAGCCACTAAGAGATCTAATAGGACTAGGACAGAGGAACAACCCCTGTCCCGAGCCCTCCAGAGATCATCCACCAACGCGACCAATGCCGTTTCTGTGCTGTACCCCTGCCTGAAGCCCGACTGGTATGGGTCTAGATAGATAGCTTCATCCAGGTGCCGGGGAAGCTGTCGTGCCACCACGCTCTCAACAACCTTCGCCACAAAACGAAGGTTGGAGACTGGACGATAGTTGGCTAATTCAGCCGGGTCCAGGGAAGGCTTCTTGAGGAGGGGCCTCACTACCGCCTCTTTCAAGGCGGCAGGAAAGGCACCCTCACTCAGAGAAGCACTTATAATCCCCTGGAGCCAGCCTCATGTAACCTCCCGGGAGGCCAGCACCAACCAGGAGGGACACGGGTCCAATAAACACGTGGCGGCACTAATCTTACCCAGAACCCTGTCCACATCCTCGGGAGTCACAGGATCAAACTCCTCCCAGATAACATTCTCAAGACCTGCCCTCGTCTCCTCCCGCGGACTCATCCAGTCGGAGTCCAAGCCATCCCGAATCCGAGCGACTTTATCGTGCAGGAATTACACAAAATCCTCAGCACGACCCTGCAAGGGATCTTCCTGCACTCCCCCCCGAAGAAGGAAGTAGTTCACCCTAAACAAGGCGGCTGGGCGGTTCTCTGCAGATGCGATAAGAGCGGAAAAATGGTTAGATTTTGCCGCTTTTATCGCCACTAGGTAGGTCTTGATATAAGACCTCACCTGTGTCTGGTCGGAATCGGATTGACTAGTCCTCCAAATGCTCTCTAGGCGTCTTTTCTGACGCTTCATCTCTCTCAGCTCCTCAGAGAACCAAGGAGCCAATTGAGATCGGCATCGGGTCAGAGGCCGCAAAGGCATGACGCGGTCCAAAGCTCCAGTGGCCGCCCTTTCCCAGGCAGCCACCAGCTCTTCAGTTGAGTCGTGTGTTAGAGTCTCAGGGAACGGCCCAAACTCCATCAGGAACCTTTCGGGGTCCATCAGGCGCCTGGGACGGAACCATCTGGTTGGTTCCGTCTCCCTGTGGTGGGGGAAGGTGGTAGGAAAGTCTAATTGGAGGAGCAAATGATCTGTCCATGACAAGGGTTTAATATCTAGGTCCCCTCTACCAAGATCATTCAACCACTGACCAGAGACAAAAATCAAGTCCAGAGTGTGTCCCCCTATGTGAGTGGGGCCTTGAACTAACTGGGTCAGGTCCATGGCAGTCATGGAAGCAATGAACTCCTGGGCCGCCTCTGAAGCCTCACCCGCGGATGGAAGGTTGAAATCCCCCATGACAATAAGTCTGTGGGTATCAACCGCCAACCCGGCAATGACGTCAAGTAGCTCGGGTAGGGTCGCTGCCACGTGGCAGGGAGCCCGGTATGTAGTCAGCAAACCCATCTGCACCCCACGGCCCCACTTCACACAAAGGGACTCACATCCGGCTATCTGAGGAACAGTGGTCTCCCTCGGACAAAGACTTTCCCTAATAATCACCGCCACTCCTCCATCCCTCCCCTGGGCCCTTGGCTGATGAAATGCACGGAAACCTGGCGGGCACATCTCGACGAGGGGGACCCCCCCTCCTGGCCCAACCAGGTCTCCGTAATACCTGCCAGGTCCGCACCCCCCTCCAAAATAAGATCACAAATGAGGGGGGCTTTATTAACCACCGACCTGGCATTACACAACATCAGCCGCAGACCCTGGGCCTGAGACTCTACAGAACCCAGGACACGAGTCATGCATTGGGGGCCAGAGTGCGCAATCGCTCTGAGACAGCGCATGCGCACCCCCGACACTTGATATGACCCCCTGCGCCCGTCATACCTGCCCCTCCCACTCATTATTTCAATTTCACAGCCCTTCCTGTCGTCCCCCTGCTCCCCGGTTAAATTTCCTTTCACGACCCCCCTGGCGCAACTAATCGACCCATCATCCCGCTCAGTCACTATCTGGACCCCCCCAGGTCCGCTTTTACAACCCCCTCCCTCCCTCCCGGGTCCCCTTAAAATTTTCCTTAAAAATTTGGCTAAAAAAACCCTCAACCCCCTCTTTGCTGCATGCCATCTCTCGGGGTTGATAGGCCCTCGATAACGTGGAGGGCCAGGCCTGCGAGAGGGGGGAGTCTCGCAGCGCGA